GGGAAGGCAATGTGTGAATGAAATTCTTATCTCAGTTTGCATGTGGGGACAACATTGATGCACTTACAAAGAAAAACACGTAAAAACACATTCACATACACAAAGAAATGTTGATTTAAAATTTTTGCTTTATTGTGATCATTTTTGGAAGTCTGGGTTGTTTTTAAGATCTATATAAAGCACAAGACATTCACACTGTTGTTTAGTGTTCTCTGACCAAATACTTCAACATTATCAAAGCTTAACTGCAGATGTTTGGGAGACAGGTAAGTGGAAAAAAGTATTTGGCAGTGTCAGCAGGACAGGTATATTTAGACAGATGAGGTGTACTGGTGAAAGCACAGCCATTCTTCACAGCAAATCTAGATGGAGGAGGAGCATTACCTGTCTACAAGAGCAAACTGAGGTACAGTAACATTATGGGATTCCTTTTTTGCTTCCTCGACAGGCAAGGGAAACTTCAGGTTATGAAAAAGATTAGATTCAAGGCTCCAGCTTTGGACTTGGCATGACACAGGGAATGGAGGTAATTCAGTCCCACTGAGGGGTTGCAGCTGCTTTACTGGCACATTATCACCCACTAAGACATGTAAATTGGAAGGTGATATCTAAAAGCAAGTACATTGCAGTGATTGTAACTAATTGTAGGATTTGTACTACATTTGTGCAGATTTATAGGCCACTTCAAATTCAGCTCAAGGATCCTGCAGCCATAATGTGTTGAGTATTAAACTCTTCTCTTATATGCGTACTGAGCATGGATCAACCGAAAGAGCTACAACAACATTCAGTTAAGAGAGCATAATCAATGACTAAGTAGAGTAAATCCAAACCTTAAATCAGCACACAACACAGTCGTGCAGCAGTAATGGATTACTCGATTTAAAATGAATGAACTTCCATCTGAGAGCAACACATTCAACACATTAACTGTGATCTAGGGAAATGGCTTGTGCTGTTTTGCATTAGCTTGCTAACCCCCACATCAGTGTGTACCTGCATATGTGCCCAGTCTGTGCAGTGTCTTTTGCAAATTCATAATCATAACCTCAAAGAGAGAGCTGCCTTCACTCAGGTACTATACATGAGATGAAAACAGAATGGATTTCTTCTGGCTTTAAATATTCACATTCTACACATCAAGCACTCCACCGACACATCAACTCCAGACAATATTTAAACAATAAACTCATAATGAAATGAAAATAAATCTGATCAATATGAAACTATTTGAATTTCAGAAAATCCCTCAGCCATTTGTCCTGATACAAATGGCTAAAGGTTGACTAGTTTACATCCTTTGTAGGTGGAAGTCAGATCTGGCAATGCTTGAACTAAACTTAATGCAGCCAAAAACATTCATTCCCCTCACATACCAATGCAGATCTAAGATCTGTCTCTGCATGTATCTTCTTATTGCTTTCAAATAGGTTTTTATGGCTGTTCAGACAAGCAGCAGGCAAGCAGAACCTGAGAGTTTTAAAATGACCTCAGCGTGATGACACAATTGTGTGAGCTTTTTCTTTTCATGCTATTACAACCGAAGGTGATACACACTTCCTGACACAAGCAGAGGCTGTCCAGCAATGTGCAAAATTAATCAAAAGCAAGCAAACAAATAAATAAATAAATAAATAAAAGGGGTTTGGTTTTAGCTAAACATTAATGTGCTTCTACGTGGTTTTGAAAAAAAAAAAAGTTAAACTCCCCCCAACAGACACACACAAATAGACACACACACAATTTGCTAAGAGTCTACAGCCATGCTGGGGGTTACACATGCTAGTGGTTTTTAGAGCTAAATAATAAAGTCAGCATGCTAACATGTTTACATAATGCTAACATGCTAATGTTTAGCAGATACAGTATCATTTTTTAATCATGTTCACCATGTTAGAATGTTGGCATGCTAACATTTGCTGATTAGCACTCAACAACTGAGGACGAGGGCAATTACTTTTGCAGGAATGTGGGCATAAATCAAAGTACGAGGAAAATGATGAAAAACTTGACCTAGAGGAAAAGTCAAGGGATATTGCAACTCTCCCACTGTGAACCATTAATGTCTACAGTGTCTGTAATGATAAGCCTGACTCAGGCAGGTTTTTGATGTCATCCCACATCAAAAAACACTCGCACAGGACTGCATCTATCACTCACACCGCATTGGGATCACAAGCCCTGTGTCCATCTTTGCCAAGGAAAAAGTGTGCGCATTGTGTCTGAGGTCTTTAGCTTATCACTGCCCATGAGAGGATTAAATAATGCTACAAAATGATGTTTACTGTCTCTCGCCCTTATACTCCCTCTCTATTCCCTATCTTCATTTCTCACACCCGTTCACTCACACTCCCTCATGCATCATATGCCCTGCAAGTCTAACTGCGTGTCAGCTATTCCTACCTAATGGTAATTTCCACCTCACCACATCACAGAACGGATTATAGGTGAGAAACTGGTAACAGTGACAAGGCACATACACACCTCAGAGCTACATTGTGCCAAAGCAGTTGTATTTGGTGCAACACATCAAATCTACAGCTAAAACACACACTAACAGATAAAAACACATGCTCTCATAAGTGTGCAACATAGTGTCCTAATATCACATTGCATGTGCAGTCAGCCAGCTCAGACAAGTCTATGCATGAGAGGAAAAAGTTCAAAATTCATTCTACATAGTTTCATCTCCTGACAACGCTTTCACAAACAACCTGGTATGCTCTTATTATTCATGAATCCAGTAAAGCTGACATGACTGTGAAATGCACAACATCTTGTTTTTATGCTCCTCTTGAGTCTGGAAGTGTAAAATCTCACATTAAGTCCTGCAGAGTTTTAACACTTACACATATGCAAGCACACAGGACACCTGCACTCCATGGACAGTGCGTATTAGACTCTTAGACTGCATGGACTGGCACATTTGAAGAAACTGCTGTACTTCATCACATAAATGCAACTGAGACAAGAAAAGAGCTGTACTATAAAGAACTGAAGAATAGGTACAGCATGAAAAATATTGGTCTTCGTCCAGACACTTAGGCTGTAACAAGGCTATCTATGCAGTTAAGGATTCAAAACTACTTTATAAAGCACCAAATTAAAGTGCAGTTAAAGCAATGGGTTTTGACTACAGCCCTAAAATGGGCCTGCACATTCTCACTTACCACTGCAGAGAAGTGAATCATCATTATCTTCACAATCCAGGTGATCACTTGAGGGCTGAAAGGGAGAACATATTCCCTAAAATACACCAAAAGATTTCATCCAAGTTGGGAAAAAAAAGTGTGGACCATTATATTCCTGCAGAGTGTGTTATTAGAGATCATCAACTGAATGGTACATGAGAGTCAGTGTATACTATACATATCTATGTGTCTATATCTGCGTGAAAGAGGATGTGGGTGTGTTTGAAAGAATGTAAAAGTGGATGAATGACACAGGCTTGCTTTCCTGGCCAGTGCTGAAGTGCAGAAAAGTTTGGGAAGAGGGGTGGGGGCGAAGCTGCTACAACCTGTTGGCTCAGAGACTGAGAGAGAGAGAAACAGACAGACAGAGACACATACAGGTAGCTGGGGGTTAGTGATGAGCTTTGACCCTGCTGGGAATGCATTGTGACTGCTGTAGTGTATGCATGGCTGTTTATGGGGGTTGCAGATACAGACTTTCACCTCTGGTTAACAGAATAAATGATGGATGATTTTAAAAACTTGGAAATTGTCCACAATCATACTCTAGGTCAAATCTCCCTTGAGTCACGAATGTGAAAATCCACCAAAACTCTCGGCTACACAAAAACCTGAAGACAGGAGATAGCCCATGAATGTGTTTTATATCTTGGTGCAAATACACAAGATACACACTTTACTGATTTGGTGTTGTTCATATCTTTTACAGCTTGTTTGTCTTTGTCAACTATACATTTGTACACCGCCTTTACACAACGTGCTATTTATTATGACAATAGTTTACTTTATGTTAACATCAAATAGTGCCAAACACAACCAAAGTCAATCTACTGAAGCATGAGCACTTGTACTCCTCCCATAATTCTGTATTTAGGGTTTGTATACTTGGACATAAACCCAAACAAAATAGACTATAGAGCAAATACCTTCTCAAAACAGAAAGCAGCGGAAAGAGGATTAACTGGTCCTGTTTTGCAAGCACCTCTCAGTTGGTGTGTGTGTGTGTGTGTGTTTTGTGTCTGTTCTGGGACACTGGGTCTGGCACTAGGTCACCTGAGGAATGCAGTGACCAGTTTAATAGGGTTTAGCCAGCTGTGAGTCTTGACATGCTATAACTCAACACACCCGCTCCTAACGTGCACAATAGCAGGATCTGGCTGAGGTCCAGAGATGCCAGGAGAAGGTGCAGTAATATATGTATGGAATTACATCGATTTAACATCCATTTGAAACAATCAATTACTGCCTCACACACAAAATTAGAGCAGCAGCACAAGTATCTCTATCCGTAATGTATGTAGCAGAGCATGTCAGCGGCAGTGAACACCCAGGGGGTGTACAAAGTGCAGAGCAGCTTTTTTAAAAGACATGTTAATATATATTTTTACTCACTTGGGAATTGTTGAATTTTACATATGACTTTGTGTGTTATATTCATTGTTAAGTGTAATTTGAAATAAAGCATTTATGTTTGGAAAAAGTGGTCATTGTTCTTTAGTTCATTGGGATGTAAGGCTACAGTTAAAGCTAGAAATTAAGTACATGCAGATTTTTCCACTTTTTTGGAGTGACTGGGTGTGATTTGAGTGGACTGGGATGCAATCTGAGTTGAGCTCTGAGCGATAATGAGTGGAGCTGCCTGGTGCGGCTTTGAGCAGGCTAATCGCTCCACTCCTCTCATATGCTCTGGTATGTTGCAGGATTACTACTGTACATTCTCAAGCATGTACATAACTAATTTGATGTGGCTGCATTTGTATGCAGACTAAGACATTATGATTTGTCAAAGACATACTATACATGTAGCTAATTACAAAATTAAATGCACTCCCTTATTGAAACATAGAATTTTCCTATCAAACCTCCTTGATGATGGTGCAGCACTGCAGCACAAATCATTTAAAGTGATGGACTTCGACAGCAAATCTATGTGTGTGAGAGATGGTATTCTGGTGTGAAGTAAAAAGGTGGAATATTCTGGACTGGCCTCAGGGACGTCTGAGCTACATGCTGCCCTGCGATTGACCTGCAACACTATAGGAAAGTTCATGAGGGCACATCAGTCAAGACCACTCTTACTAGACAGTCAAAGGCAAGGAGGTATCTCTGCATCCATCTCTGTTTTTTCCTGATGTTGTGTCAAGAGAATCCCCCTACTGCGGGTGTCAGTGCTGACTGGACTTCACAGTTCGAGAGGAACATAACCTTAACTAACCATATCACACCAACACCTACAGTAACACTGTAAACACTCACCGCATTACAGTCTTGATAGCTTCCTATAAGAGACATTACATCATGGGGGAGTGAGCCTGTCTTTCAGCAGTAGGTGTGATTAGAAATAAAAGGTGTTGTGGACCTGTTGGGGGTTTTCAAGTAGGGAATATTAACCAGCCTTGTTTCAGCTAATTGCACTCCTTCTCCAAGTGGGCCGACAGTACCACCCCCCAACAGAAGGTGTTGGCTCAAAAGTGAGCTACAATTAAATTCACACTGTAGGCTAACCAGAAAACAATCACAGGGAGTGCCGTTAGTGGGAATCAAGGGAAAGAAGCAAAGAAAGAAGGTGAAGAAAGAACTAAGGAGGCAGGGAAAACCAGCAAATGCAAGTTAGTGTAAATTTGCAAAGTCACTGGGGCTTTAAAAAGGAAGGGTGTGTGCGTTGGCTTATTGTGGCTGGGAATAAACACAGAACAGTGGCGGTTACAACTGGTATAGCTCTCTAGGCAAACTCCCCAGCAACACAAAATCACCATTCTGCTAACTGGATGTTTTATTCAGACATTTGGAGCAACACAAATACATCATTGTAGCATTTATAATTATATTAATATAGAACATGCAAACAAAGTCATCAGTCAGCTGCAAGGTGATAATGCTAACCGCTGCACCACCGTGCTGTCATTTGTATTACTGTACAATGTTATAGGTGCAGTAGATTCGCCCAACAAGGTTAACTGACCCAGACAACATCGCTGACTTGACATGCAAATATCATGCCAAAGTCCCTACCATTCTGAGATTTTTTGTGCACTTGCCCCCCGCCTGATGCCGCCCTGGGTGGGTGCCCATGTCGGAAATACCTAAATCAGCATCTGATACTGAAGGCAAACAAATAAAAAAATGTGTGCACAGGTACAGATGTGTCAAAATTTGAGTGTAAATGTTTGTCATTCACTAGGAATCCCATGGACTGGCTTTACTGACAGCCCAATAAAATATCAGTCAGAGGTAATTATATTTTATCTTAACTGGGAGTTAAGCTCTTCTCCCCCATCTTTATACCCCACAAAATGCAGACATATTTTCGTAACAGTTTCTGTTTATTAGAAGTCAGTTCCATAACTACTAATATGATGTAAGAAATTGAGGTACAAGTGAACATAATTACTTCTTAATATATCGCTTGGAAGAGCCTTGATCATTCACTATTCATGCCTTAAGGAGCTTCTACTTCTAATTTGATAAAAAGCAGATTTAATACATTTCTGACATCTTCATTTCTCCACTACCTTCTTTTTTGCTCCACTAGTTTCATCACAAAAGTTATGAAAATCAAACACTGCTTTACTGTAGCTGCTGGTTGTAAGACTCTCCATTAATTGTATGATTTCTCACATGACACTTTAATTATGTAAAGTTGAGGCTTTAAGTTGAAATTCAGAACTGAGTAATTGTTTCTACTGTGTGTAATTGGAGGGTACATTACTGTAATATTATTAGCTTGAGCGCAAAATGAAGTTGGTAGTGTCTTTTTCTGAAATGTATTTGCATCTCCAAGCTGAACTTTGATCACCTACACTTTGAAACACTTAACAATTACATTTTCAGAACCACAACATGTCACCTACTGCTGTACCGTGAAATCAGCCTCGAAAGTTTGCTTTCACACACACTGGCATTTCATTTGCTTTCCTGCCTCCTTCTGTGGGGCATTAATGTAACTATTGACAGACTGACAGCATGAGATGTGCATCTGGAAGATTTGATGCTTGTGTCAGTTTTTTGTTTAATGCTGTCAGAGTTGGCACATTTGTTGATGTTTCACACCGGGAAGATAGGCAGTATTTCTCTGGCCAGAGGCAAATGCTATTCTGACTCACATCCATAAACTGTACAAGCTGGGCAGAGGGCCCACTGCTGCCAACTACAAAAGGCCTTCTCTGTGCCAAGCCTTTTAGCAGTATAAGCATACACACAGCACGTGCACACCTGCACACACACAGAACAGAGATACACATAGACAGTAAGCAACAGTGTGCACAAAACAGAAACAGATGAAAGCATGTTGGATGCACACACACCCATACCCTTTGTATACACACAGAGTGCTCTTACAGGCAGTTTTTGTCATGATAAATTCATTTCATGAACCATGTGACTTCCCGCCTCCGACTGAGATACGAGCTGTCATGGCAACAGATGACAACAGCGGTTGCAGCATCAAGGATGGTTTGTTGGGACAAGCGGCACCATAGCAGAGAATTGAGATGCAGCAGAAGTCTGCGCTGAAAGAATTAGTCATGAGTGTGTGTCCAATTACCACTCTGAAGCCAACAAAGGATATCAAAATAATGAACAAAACCAGTTCTCTTCACTGTGCTTAAGAAGACATGATGCCACAGTAAATCCATTTTTCAACACAAACAGAAAACTAAAGAATCGTGTAGAAATGTGAGTCAATACCTCACACAAAAAAGTACTCTCAGCTGTGGAGTTTTCCTTACATTTGAGGCTTCCACCTTAACAGTAACAAAAGCTATGGTTCATTTTTACACTTTGAAGGTCAGAGATTGAACTCAGTGTATAATTACAAACCTCAGATTGTACAGAGTGAAGGTAGTAAATAATGCCATGATTATATAGATTACAATGAGATGTAAAGCAGTAATTGTATTAATTATAGCCACATAAAATTATGACTGAATAACAAATAATACTGCTATTTAAAATGCTGTAAGTGTAGATTCTGTAGCTATGAGCATAGTTTATAAACTATGTTGTGAATATAGGTTACTGTAGCTCCACAGAGCTAAGACATTGCATTTGATTTGGAAAAATGGTTGACATGCATGTGGAATTTTTAGGAACTAGACAACTCCAGAAGGTCAAAGGGCAGCAGGTGCTGTCATTCAACTTCTGAACCTTTAAGAGAGCACAGAGAAGTGAAAGAGGGAGTGAGGTATTTTGTCTGTTAAAAAAAAAAGCACCACTAGTGGATGTATGTTTCCACCTGCATGAGCATCTGTCACTCAGAAAACTTTCACCACTGACAGAAATGCTGTAATCACCTTCGAACCGCAGCTCAGTGCATAAGAGGAATCCTCAAGAATCAACCTACAGGAAGTCCTGCCTGGATTCCAATCATCACTCTGTGTTTGCATAGCTCCAACACTCACACAGGATTTGACTGAACTTGTTTAAATAGCATCTAGAGAGAATTTTACTGTGCATATATGATGAAGATTTGCTCAAGGGGGAAACAAAAACTTTCAGTAGTTCAAAAATGAAAGATTAACACTGTGAGTGTATGTGTGCACCTTCATTCATCTAAGGGTTTACAGTAGTTATTTTACATAATTTAACAGCCGCTGTGCCTGCCTGCATGCATCCATCCTACAGACACAGAGAGACTCCTCTCACTTGGCAGTCCAAATGTCTGGCTACAAAGCACAAACAACAGAGAGGTTAAGCTACTGACTTGTATATCCAGGTGTTTCTGTGAAATGATACTGCTCGGTAATAGCAGTGGAATTTTGACTAAACTCTGCCAATTAAACTTGATCTGTTAGAAAGTAGACAGGCAAAGTAGACAGAACTGACAGTTAGTTGATGTGAATACCTTACAGAGAAAATCTCTGTAATTCATCTAGCATGAAATTGGACAAAACTTTTCTATACACAAAATTTAAATTAAGCACTTGTTTATGAACAAAACCTTTCAGTTTTTCCTTTCAGGGTTTCAGTTCTGCATGTTAAACAGCTTTTTTCCCCCCAGTAGTTCACACATTCCCCAGCAAACCCAGAGGTCGACTTCATACTGATTCCTTAAAAAAAAAAAAACACAATATGTATAAAATCCAGTGAGATTCAGTTACAAAGGTTACTGTGCTGAAGGAGTTTACTGCTAGCATTTTGATTCAGTGCCTTTTCTGCACAACTAAACCTAATCCAGCTTTACTGAGCAGAGCAGAACTGGATTTAACTGAGCACACAGAGCAGGACTGTGAAGGACAGTACAGAGTGTACTCAGGTGTTCAGAATACATCACATTAGTACTGGCACTGCTGAATTTTACAGTGACAATAGCCAACAATATGATTTTTAGAAGATATTTATGTTGACTGTGGAAAAAAGCATTTATCAGTGTGCTAGCTGCATATTAACATCACTAGCTATCAAACATACTACACATGTTATAGGAATATGACAGTATGACAGGATAAAGTTGGTGACACTCGATACTTTTGATTAGGGTTCGAGCAACATGCTGATGTAATTGATTATGGCAGTTTGGGTGGAAACAGTTTTTCATCTGATGTTCTGAATATCTGGTTAGTTCATGACATGAATGAGAACTGATCATGCATTCACTCACCCTTAACTTTAACCTTTACCAGGATCTGAGCTCATATCTGACAACCCTGTATATACCATATAGATATAAATGCTCTCCCTCCACCAGTCAGGCAGTGAAATGTATCTTCTTGTGTTGTACAAGACTGTATATTGGCCACAGATGAGAGATGACAAACACACACACACACACACACACACACACACACAAGCAAAGAGAAGTCTGCTGTATATCAGCTCAGAACAGGTCACTGGAGCTCTGCAGAAACGTTAACTGAAATGGAAAATGGCCAGGAGAACGGACGTCTGCTCTCAACACAGCTGCTTCATGTGCAATATACAAAAGCAAGTATTTACATAAAATTCAGGTCATTTTTGCATATAAACATGACAGGGAACAGAGATGTGAAGAGGTAAATATGGTTCATCAGTGTGAGAGAAAAGAAACAGAAGCATAATTCCTAACATTATCTGTGACCTGTCTGTGTTGTTGTTCCTAATGTTCAGATTGTATGGACACACCAAAATTAAGGTAAACACAAAGACATATGCACCCTTTCTTATCCATCATACATCAAGCTGTTGCTCACTGAGCTCCACAAACCCTGAGTAGCTGACAAGTAACTCAAAAAATCATTAGCGCTTGAACATATGGCCAGGTAAAAGATTTCAAAGTGGGGACACCTGGGGGTTTTCACAGCCGTCACATAACCTTTGTCCTCGTAACCCACCTCTCCTCCCTCTGCTGTGATTGTCTATTTTGACTCCTCTCCTCTACCATGTGCCCTTCAAAATGTCCCCCTTTGGTCTAATTTAATATGCATGGAACAGCTGGGGGTACATGGACAGCAATTTGTTGGATAGCTGGAGTCTAAACCTCCTCAGAATGCTATGAAGAAGAACATTTTACTGGATCACACAATTTCATGGGAAATGAACTGTGGGTGTACAAAGCAACAACTTTTGGGGAATGAAAGCTTGGGAAAAAGAGGCAGTAGCAGGAGGGAGGACAGTGTAATGAGAATACCATGGAGAGTGACAGAGAAATGGAATAGGCTTCAGGAAAATACATAAAAAGAAATGAATGACTGACAACGTGAAATACAAAGATCCCAAACTGAAAAGGGGAGCATGAAAGAAGGAGAAAGAATGTGCCAAAAAGGAAGGTTATTGCTAGCACATGGTGCGTCTGTAACCT